ATAAAACATATTGGAAGACTGTACAGATCAGATGTGTTAGACACAGTTCAAATCAAAAAATCTGCTTTATCAGTATGTTAAAAATGTTAGGAGATACGTTGTATTGTCTTGTGCCATAAGATGACAAAATTGTTCTAATCCAATCTCTCCTTCTCAGACCCTGCTTAATAATGAAGAAGATGCCATAGGAGATAAAGCAGTGAATACAGATAACGCAATGAAGCCTGAAAACGGGGACAGAAAAAACTCTCCAGGCCAAATGGAAATCTACTGGGACTCTAAATGAAGCAAAGAGGAGTTCATCCCTATGTTTTTAAGAATTAGTAAATCACTCTCAATTAGAAATCCTTCTAAATTCCACATACAGATTGTCATTATTTATTAACACCACTTCTAACCAAGGATCTCACCATGGATCACAATGAGAACAAACTGAACCTCACAACTGTAATTTTTACAACTCAAGTCTGACATCTTGTTCCTAGTTAGAGCTGTGGATCACTCCTGGCTCAGTCAGAGGGAGTACTGGTGTAAAATAAAGGGTCAACACTGTGAAAATCATGTACTGCCATGTTCAGAGCCCACTTTCCCCACGTCTCTCCCAGGCATAGAAAATTTATTGAGCTATGAAACGATTCACTGAAACATTCTATTACATAACTACAATCTCCTTACAGTGCAGCTCTAACTGGAACCAGTGGAAGTCCTGCCTGCAAACCCTTATGTCACGGTTGGATGCTGATTTTTTACCTTGAGGTAAAGTTCTATTCCCTTTTTTATAGAGAGCTCTTAAAACCACAGAACTCAGTCTTTTATCAATTTTTTAGGTAATACACATTAGTTTAATGAAATTTGTTTAGAATTTCCTATTTGGAATGAATACAGAAAATCCAGTGGAGAGTCAGGGACAATTGATCCTTTCTGAAGTAATTTTAATTAAGTGCATTTTTTAACCTGGCCAAAAATGCCACATCCTCAACTGTATCTTTTTCTAATTTTTATATATATATATATGAACATAATAAGTCACAGAGGGCACTAAATGATGCTTAGAACAAATAACAAAAGTACACTAAATGTCTGAGAGAGCTTTTCAGCCAGCAGAGTGTGGAGACATAGCCACTGTTCTCTATAAGCATTGCAGACTGGTTGGATGATTAATTCCATCACAGTCACCAAGAGCTTTACCACTGGTTTGGGAAAAGATTTTTTTCCAATACTTGATAATATTACTTTTACAGTGACATTTACTGAAGCACGAATATAAACAGACTTCATAAACATGAATGAATAATGCTGGCATTGGAAATGTTTTAACAAGTATTCAAGAGACATGAAATTATTTGCCCCAAAGAAGAGGAGTTCCTGAGAGGACAAAGCACAGGATATCACAGTGTATCACTGTTAAGAATTTGTAACTTTTCCAAAAATGGACAGATATTCCTTCTTCCTTCCCTTCCCCTCCCTCTTGGGACTTACAGTTGCACCCAGAAGGGATTGACTGCAGCAGTGTTCCTGTTCATGTACCACTGAACAAACCCTTTCACTGCCTCTGTCCCTTAGAGCTCCTGAAGCTGCACTTCAGGGGCAGTGGCTGCAGCCCCCAGAGCCACAGCCAGCTCTGTCCCACACTGTGTCTGTGTCTTTGCTCTCTGACAAAAGTTTTCAGTCTCAGGTCTTTTTCTTCCATTTACAATTTTCAGTACATTTGCTAGAAAATACCTACTGCAACAGGGGATGTCTCGAAGCTGTCCTTTCACAACCATTTAAGATAATATTCATTACAGCTGTTCTCCAGAGGGAAGCCAGTGGTCAAAAGGCAAGTTAAGGCTCCTGTTTCCTGGTGCCATGTGCCATGAGGAGCAGCCCTGCAGTGTTTCATCATCAGCCAGCACCACACTGAATCACAGCATCACTAATGTGTGTAATTGCTTGCAGAAAGGTTCAGTTTAAGAATGTGTCAAACATATAATTTGATCAGGGCGTGTGAGTATCCATGCATGGGCTGGTGGTGGTGCATTCTTATGGCCGTGAATCACACAGCATTTGAGCCACCTACCTCCTCCTTGTAGGGAAGCTGCAATATTCTGTCCTGTTGGAAAGAAACCTGGACTAGCTCTTTAAAGCTGATGGGGCTCTCAGCACATATCTATTTCAACACCTCAGTCCTCTGGTTAGACCAGTAATATTCATGATGTTGCTGAGAAATCTGATAGACAATTTTCATTTTCTGGTAATAACAAATACTCTAAAATGTAAAAAATAAAGGATCGGTATGGCATTTACATTTCTGAATAGCTCTATTTGTTGTAAAGTGTTGTCATTTTTAATGGGGGGATATACTGTCAGTTTATTAAAGCTGGTGCAGGCTTGTCAGCTAAGCAGGTGGTACGTTAGGAAAAGGGCGCTCATTTTGCTGTACGAGGAAGTATTTGTGCTCAGGATTACACTGTGTTTATAAGATGTTTACTGTAAGGTTAAAAGCCATCTTCCCCGTAGGTACTGAGCAGACTCCCTGCATTGCTCAGGCTGCAGTGACACAGGCTGTGCCCCGACCCCCACGGCGCGGCAAGCGCTCCCTCGGCACAGCCCCAGCACAGCCCCCGCGGGACTCCTCCCAATTCCCGATAAAGGAATCACATCATGAATAACCTCTTTCTCCAGTATTCACGGATTGGATAAATATCTTGTCCCATAAAGTTGTGTCTGGAATGCTGCAGCACCCACGGAGCAGAGGCCACACTTGTCCGGTGTTTTACAGTATCATGAACGGATTTGTGCCGTAAAAGCAGAATTGAAAGAGCAAGCTTGAGTGGACACGGGATGCTGAGGTACAGCAAGGCTTGTGCTAGAGCCCATCAAACTGCTGACTGCAGCTGAACTGCAGCTGTGCAGCACATCTGGGAGAGCCAGAGCGATGCATCCCATCCCAAACACCTGCACGAACCTTTGCAGCAGCTTTCTACACGAATCAGGTACTAATGCACAAACCATCCTGGCTAGCTACAGGAGCCTGTGATGACTGAGCTGCATGTTCAGCTGCAGCTTTAGTATGAGAACTATGTGCAGCTTTTGCAGGCAAAACTGCATGCCCCAATTAGATTAAAAGGTGGATGCTTTATTATCCCTGCACTACTTCACCATCATTTTAACTGGGATGTGTATGTTACTGGCCTTCACTATAACCCTGAAAAACATGTTGAAGATATAAGAAATAATCCACTAAAACTATTGAATAAAAGTTTTTAAGTAAGCATATTTATCCTTGAATAATATCATTCTCATAAATTTTAAAATTCTGGGAAGAGAAAACATCTTCTTGTTTGACAATAAATACCTGCAATTAAAACTCCTATGTTAAAAACCTTAACAAGGTTATTATAGGCAACACTTGCTTTCACAGTCTCCCAGAAAAAGGATATTTTTAACATCCCACTCACTGTATGGGGACAGAGAAGGTGAATGTGAGGCCAGGCAGACACCAACTACAGCCTCACAAAAACACAGAGGAACCAGCAGATAACCCAGGACTAGCATGGGAGCCAGGGAACGCCGCACCTCCAGGCTGAGCACTCAGGTTTGGATAAGGGCCTGGCAGGGGACACCAGTGGAAACAGAACTGATAAGTGCCTGAAATGCTGCTTGTACCTGGACTTTCACCCTTTGGCTCTAGGAACAGAACTAACATGTGAGTTTAAAGAAGGAACCATGTGACAGCAGTGTCACCAGAATAGCATTGGACTATCAAAGACTATTGAATCGAGATACAGAAACACATCATCATCAAAAGCAGCAAAAACTCTTCATAAGCTCTATGTGATCAGCAGGCCAGGTGAGACACAAAACGGAATGAAAACAGGCATGGCCACTTCTAGCAGTAAAACAGGAACACCTGCTGAAAATTTAATTTTCATTTCCTTCAGACTAAATTAGAAAAGGGGCTCACTTCAGTGAAAAATTTTACTGCAACAAGGGAAGACTTTGCACAGGGCCAAGGTTCCTCACACAGGAACCTCAGAGACAGGATTTGTTTATCTTCTTTTTAATGCTATTTAGAATGTCACGTAGAGCAGGACACATTACAGATTGCTCTCTTCCTTATGTTTATAATGTAGAGGAAAGGCCACACGAGTACTGGGAGTGGGATTTCTGAAACTTTTGCATCTATAAGAACAATAAAGTGGAAACTTGCAGTTTTAGAGTCTTGCTTGAGCCACAGAGAAGTCACTATTCACTAGTGAACAAAAAGAAGAAAAAAAAATGCTCATTTCTTGTGATTTATCCCAGTGACAGGGTTAATGACACAGGTAGACATGCCCATTGACTCATTAAATTGAATTGCAAGACATGGCTACAAGTCAATTTCCTTTGGTATGTGCTTAGGCACCTTGTAATGACAGTATTTGTGTCACTGGAATTCAGTTCCGACCTAAACCTGCACTGATCTTTCAGTTCAAATCTGAGGAGGCATTTTCACACAACTCTTTCCCTTCCAGAGCTCTGTGCTGTAACAGCTCACATCTTTTGTAGGTCAGGACGTGCAATGTGTACATGAGCTGGCTGCAGCAGTACAGTCACTGCAGGTGCTGTGCTACACAAATATGGACACGTGGAGAATATTAATGACAACTTTCATTCAGAGGCAACACATGAATTATCAATGAACCCAGCTTCCGTGTTCAGCAGGAAGCGTGTGGCACGGGCTGATGGAACGTTGGGAATCACAATCCCAGCTGTAGTAGCTACTGCTGTGTGTGCCACCCCAGATGGCACAAACCTCCCCTGAAGGAGCCTGGCTCACGCTGCAGCAGAGCTGTGCAAGCTGCAAGCACTACCTTTAGGAATATTCTGAGGGAAAAACTGGGGTTGAGATCAGAAGGAGCTGTGCAATTTGGATCTGCCAGTCCCCACTGAGGCGCAGGGTCCGTGTTTGCTATTGTCAAGGTGCATGGTGGCAATCAAGGAAATGATCAAGGAAAATGGGCTCTGAGACTCCTCACCGTTCAGCCGTGCTGGCAGCTGGGACTTCTTTCCACTCTAGTATCAAGCAATGATATTGCAAGGAAGGCCAGCTGCAAAAGGAGAATAAAATACCAGTGTCCTAACAATCTCTGGGAAATTCATTAATCCCTGCGAACCCGATTTAATTTGTCAGGTAGATGCTAATCATCACTTGAATACGCACCCCAAAATACTTGAAATATTAGAATTTTGAGGCTGTCAAAACAGTTCTGTCTACTTTGCAAGTAGATGGAAGTAAATCCAAGGTAATTTGGGCAACCATTTGAAAGTCTTCCCCTACATTTCAGTCCCCTGTTTCTTGTGTATGAAATAACCCTGATGAGTGCCTGTGTGGTGCAGGGGGTTTGCACAGCCCTGTCTTGTAAACTGCTGTTTAAAACAAACAAGAGCAAGCGAGGGGCCAAGGCCCAGCACAGGCAAGGTGACAGCAGCACCCTCAGGTGCTCTGGGTACAAACACAGAGATCCATTAGGTAACTGTACATCAGTCATCTCCACTGCTGCTCACAGGAGTAACAGACAGGGCTGTACAGCTTTTGATTATGAAATTTTCAGTGTCCCTTTTAGCTTCTTTCAGTTTTTGCTATCTGGATGATTTTCCACACGGAATTACCTCTTCCCTTGGGTCAGCATTTCAGAGAGCTGCGTGGCCCCCCTCTCTGCAGTGCTGCCAGCGCTGGAGGTGGCTGTGGTCAGTGTCACTGTCGCTGGCCGGCAGGGCTCTGGCATTCCGGGCCAGCAGCAGGGTCCCTGCCTGGGCTCTGCAGCTGGGGGCTCACCGTGCTGGGCTCTGAGGAGCTCCTGGGCAAGCACTGCTGCCCCTGACAGCGGGAGAACTACAAACGGATGGAGAACTCTGCTGGGCAGAGTTCCGTGAGGCTGTGCTGGCCACACAGGAGCTGGGACAGGCAGTGCCACTCTGCTGCGTCACCTCCTGTGAGCGCACGGGCTAAGGCAGCATGGTCTGTGCCTCAGTTTACCACCAGCAACTACCATTTTGAGATGCCAAACAAAGGCCATCTTGAGATTTAACCAAGTGGGGTTTGTAGATACTGCGAAGATTCGGCTCCCAGGGTAAAGTGCGAGTGTTTCTGTACTGAAACGGCCCCTGTGAAGGGGCACTGGAGGTGCGCGGGGGAGCCCCCGAGCCCCGGTCACACGGAGCTGACGGACACAAAGGATCCGAGCGCTTCTCTCAGCGCCCGTGACCCAGAGCTAAGAGACACTCACTAAAACACAGCTGTCCCGGGAAGGGATTCCTGGGGAGGGACACTCGGAAAGCACCACAGAGCCCGGTGCCTGCGGGAGGCCAGGGCCGGTGTGGGGTACCCGCGGTGCCTCGTCTTCCCGGTGCTCGGCGACACCCGGCGTGCCCGGCGCCACTGCTGATGCGCCCGGTGTGCCTGGCCTTCGTGGCCGGCGGGCTGTGCCCGGAGCTGCCGGTGTGTGCCCGGAAAGCTCCCGCTATTCCCGCTACTCCCGGTGCTCCCGGGCCGCCCCTCAGGCGGGCGGCGCGCAGGGCACGCCGGGAGGCGCGCGCGGCACGCCGGGACACGCACCCGGCGCCTCGGCCGCCCAAGATGGCGGCGGGCGGCGGTCCCCGCCCCCGGCCGCGCATGCGCAGCGCCGCGGCGGCCGCGCCGCTCCCGCCCTCCCTCCCGGCGGCCGCGGCGCCTCTGACAGCGCGGAGCGAGCGGAGCGTCCCCGAGCGTCGGACCGCGCACCGGAACCCCCGCACCGGGACCGCGACCCCGCACCGGGACCCTGACCCCGCACCGGGACGCCGCGCCGGTGAGTGGGACAGGCGGGTGGCGCCGGACCCGCGCAGCACAGCGAGGCGGCGGCGCTGGCGGGGCTCGGTAAGGCCGGGCCCGCCGCCCCCCCGCCCCGCGGGTTGTCCCG